AACTAGGCAAATTCCAGAAAGCCCCAGCCTTTATCTCCTTGCCATAAAACTAGATACTAACAATCCTGCAGTGCTATTTAAGGGAATTCACTATGCAAAGCCAGGCCTATGGGAGGAACTCAACAAATAAAAGTTTCATGTCGAGGACCCTGGATCCACTAGAATTAAGCTCTCAGAAGAAGTCCTTCATATTTCAGATCACTGGTATCACCGAGTTACTCACAGAGATTCTGGGCCGTCTTTGAATCCAACACTTTCAACTCTTTCACTTTTTTCTTTTGCACAGATTTCTTTTCTTCTCCACCTTCCTGATCCTTCTTGGCTACAGTGGGGAAAAGATTAAAAAAGTATGATTAAGGGCAAAGCCACATCTGCACCTAACTGAACAACTGTCCCAGCCTACAGAGGCCCTTCACTTCTTTATTAATAATGGTCTCCCTATTAAATTCCTTTAAGGCTAACCGCCTCTTTAACCACCCACCCTTCTATTATTGACTCCCTCCTCCAGCTATAATATATCATTTTCATTTCTTTGATAGTTATCAGTAATGCTTTCCCATCTATAGACTATCTACTTGGAAGGAGCAGCACACGTTCTGTAAAGGACCAGACAATAAATATTTTAGGCTTTGCAGAACATGTGGTCTGTTTCAACTGCTCAGCTCTGCCACTACAGTCTGAAAGCGGTCATAGACAGTGCATGAGTGAGTGGGTATGGCTATGTTCCAATAAAATTTTATTCACAAAAATAGGTGGTTAGCTGAGGGCTGCAGTTTGCCAACGCCTGTACTAGAGTCTTCCACTGTGTTATCCTTTTGTGCTTTTTATTATTTATCTTTCAAGCTCCATCGTGATGAGTTCCCTATAAACATTTTCTTGATTTCCCCAAATGCCTATGATCGCTCTCCGAATCCCTGCATTTGATACTTCTTCACAGCAAGTCCTCTCACTGCCTTTACCATAAGCATGTATAGTCTCTCCTCCGCAAGATAAGGCTTTGTTATTCCTCTCTGCAAATCTCCTGGCGCTAAAATATATTCCTAGCAGGGCTTCAAGTAGCACATTGGTACACACACAGAGGTATAATATACCCCTTTACCTCTACACTCTTCTCAGATTATCCAAAGCCAATGTAGTCTTTCCTGATAAACGTACTCACTCTCTGCTTTGGTGAACTAATTTTCATTTCTGTCACTTAGACTTCATTCAGCAATTGATTATTCAATGTTCAAGACATTTCATACGTATCATCTTGATCTTTTTAAATCCTGTCTTACTTTACAAGTGTAGACACTTTCCCACCCCAGTTAGATTCTGAACTTCAAGAGTATGGGCAAAATAATATTTCATTTTATCACTCCCTTAGTGGCTAGCATAAAAGTGACGTTCACTCAAAAATGGTTGACACTGCCGGCTGAGAAGGATTAAGCAGTAGATGGAAACAGGTACTGTTCTGGACACGCAATTATAAAATATTTTGTCAACTTTTAGACAGCCTTATGAGAGTATCTCTGGAGGACTGTCAGGAAGGGGACAAAGCTAA